AATTATTTGCAGAGTGTGTGTCTTCAACTTAAAATCCTATCCAAAAACAAAGGCGTAGGTATTGATATTCATTTCATCCATGTCTAGATTTGTAAAGAAACTGAATTTAAATAAAGATTATATTTAATAAAGCAATAACTATCTTTACAATGATGTATTATCAGGATAAAATAGTTGTTCGAATACATAAAAAAATCAACATCAATTATAACCGAGAAGAAATAAGAACCGATGGAAAAAAGAGTAACAAATATATCTATAAGTAGTTTGAGTTGATTTAACTAAAACAATGAATAGATAATTCATGTTAATTTACTAACTATTTTTTTATCTAATCTGTCCAGTATTTGTATCAGCAAGAAAAAATCCGTATCGATCACATCTCGACGTTATCTCTAGAGGAGCTTTAGGTGAAATTCATAATGAGTGAGTTATAAATAATTGTACTGTTTGTATTTTCAAAGTTTTTCATCTACGTATTATTTACTTGACTAAAACATCTTCCTTATCAAAAGATAGCATTTGAAATTCTACACAAAATGGTATATCCAATGTCACCGAAATTGGGAGAAAAATCGATGATTTTATCGTGATGTGTTAGTTCGATAATCGTGAGATTACATCACGATTATTTAAAACCATCTTCATCGTTCCACCTGTTTGTAGTAGTTAGATCTATTACTAACCTATTGATGTTTACTATAGTCCTCATAAATGTTTTTCTTGAAAGAGTACCGGATGGACCAAAAAGAAACTTACTCCTTTTATGTAATGCTGTTTTTGCATCTGTAGCATTCAATTTTTAATCCAATTCTTTTTGTAATAGATAGATCTAGAAAAGAAGCCTCTAAGCAGAGATATAATTTTATTGTTGAAAATGTTTTGCCATAGTGCAGTCATAATGGAAAAAAAAATTTGATTCAAAAAAGATTCATTTTATTAGAGAAGTTTTTGTTTTCATAGGATTATTCATATTTGTTAATTGATCGTATTGAATTTAATTCTCAGCATGAAACCGAAATTTATTCATAATATATGCACATTGTTTTAGTAATTGTAAAAGTCTGACTACGGCATAGAATCAATCGTAATTGAAACTAAAATAAGTGTTGAAATAAACAAATTAGTACAGTCTATCACTTTATAAAAAAGTACCGAAGATTGATATATTGCATAGATATTTTTTAATAATATTAGCAAATTGCCATTAATTCTAAATAATTTATATGTGAACTTAAACTATGAACGCCAAGAAATCTCGTTTAAAAACTTCAGGTCATAACACTGGTTCTTTATTGAATTTTTACAGCAAGACTGAAAAATAGTTTTGTTCCAGAACAGATTTCATATTTAATCAATTTCATTTTTATTTTCATTTATGGCAAAACATTTTCAAAATAAAATTGTCTCTGCGGGTGTGGGTGCGAGTATTCATGTCATCTACACGCACACCCTACTATCTGAATATTCGTAAATTGATATTTTTATGCCATAAATATATTGAAGTAAAGGCTGAAGAAAGATACAAGAGTCTCATGATATCGCGCTGCTTCTATACATGCACAACGGATACAGCATGAGCACATTTATTCTAGTTATTCAGCTTGCTTTGTTCTGTTCTATTTCGATTGTCTCTTCTTTTGTCAGCACATAAAACAAAACAATATGACTAATGTCACTCCACTTTATTTCAAGACACGTACAGAACCAAGTTTTTTTGTTTCATTTCCGATGATCTTAGTTGTTCTGTTGTCTGTCTCGGTTTAGAGAAAATTGTTGGAAAATTTACTGGTGTCAGATCTAAAATAATATATGCATATTCGTTTTGTTTATGTCTTTTGTTGACGAAAGATATGTATAGAGCCAAGGTTTTTTTTGGTTTCAGTCTCGTGCATTTCTATTTATCTCTCATCTTCAAGTTCCTATTGAAACATGAAGAAGAAAACCTCGTTAGGAAAGAGAAAAAATCAAAATTATCTGCTCATTTCAGAAAAGAAAAGAGGAAATATAGAGACTTACTGATGCTGTTTATTAACGGATATGAATAAGTATTGGCGCGCAAACTTAAAGTTTCGTTCTGTTTAAGTCTAGAGTGAGCATATGGGTGTAGATAAGACAAATGAATCCTACCATTGCACTCACAAGAACTATCATCCTTCAACATAATGAGCCGTGATGAATCAAGATTCGTATAATTTTTCTTTTCAAGGCTGTAGGTGTAGGTGTGGGTGTGGGTGTGGGTGTGGGTGTGAATGTGGCTGTGAGGAAGATAATAATACCCACACCCGCACTCACACCCACCACATTTTCACATCCACATCCACACTCACACCCACAATCTTTATGCAGATAAACAGAATTTGTTACATCTCTATTACTATCAAGTTTAGCTAAAGAATTTCTGTAGGATCCCATCGGATCCTTTACTTGCCGGCATCTTCCGACTGTCGGATCCGGCTGTCGGAAATCGTCGGATCCGATATCCCCCAACTTCCGACTGGATTCTGGCACGGATCCTATCGGAAGTTGTCGGATTCCCGTCGGCATCTATCGGGTTATGTCAGATTTCCGACGAGATCCGGGACCTTGATTACTCGTCCTGAGACACTATAATCGATAAGAAAAGCAGTGTTAATTCATCCAAGTCTTATTGTACATAGATTGTTTTTTTTAAATTACATTTCGTCACATGTAATGCGTATAGAATAATAATCGAAATCCAATGCCACAAAATTTAACTGTGATAAAATTGAAAAATTCAAATCATGGATTATAATTGTAGCCAGGGAAACTACTTATTTAGTAAATGTATCTTGTTTCATTGGATGGTAGTTTCCTATAGACACACAATGCTAATTTTAATGTTCAGCTTCTTGTATATAAGCACAAGCTATTAATTAGCTTTTTTGAAGAGAGAGTATCACTGCATCAGTTTACATGAAGTATGAAAAGGGATGATCAACATTGATTTGATTTAGCTGTTAGAAATCATTGAACCATGTGGTGTCACGAAACTAATCTTGTTGACTTCATTCGATTGATATTCTGTGTTAATTTCAAAAAAAAATAGATAGAATATGTTTTTAAAAGGTTAATTTTTATTACAGTATACAAATACAAAAAAAAAGTACAGAATAAGAGAACAGTTTTTAAAGAAGTGAACAGAAAATATTAATAATATGCGGAAATAAACATGGAGAACTGATGGATGTCATAATGTCTATAATTCGGGTATCGAGATTCATAACATAGCTACAAGGATATTCACTTATCATATTCAAGACATCCATATGCCTAAAAAATTGAGGATTTTCAATGAATTTGGTATAATGAGATGGATACCCAACTCGATACCCATTCATCTATAAAGTTGGTGATATTCTTGAAGCAGTGTGAGATACATCTTGTCTGCATGTCCTACCTACCCCCTCAACCTTCACATAAAGGTGTACCATACAGTCAGGCCCATAGCTACACCCACATTCACCCCACGTTCCTACGCGCATACACACCTTCACTAATACAAATAATTTCATGGTGGCTACCACCTGCATCCGCAAACCAAGTTTTGACAACCAAACCCTCACGTAGACAGTGATCCACACTCGCATTTGAAAGCCAAAGTCGTACACCTTCAGCCACATTCATATCAACATCATCACTCGCATGAACATACTCACCTACACCCTCAGCTAAAGAAAAAATATCGCACCTATCAAAACTGATTCCTTAGGACCCTAAAGCCGCAAATATAGGAAAAAGCTGAGTGTCTTCTTTTTCATCCATCACTCTCACACTAACAACATCCATCATCAGTGTGCTCTCGAATCCATCGCAACATCGGGCAAATTATCATAAAGTAAAAGGTTAAACCAGTAGTGGCACAGATAGAATCTACTTAATCTTCGATCTTAAAAAGTCTAATTTATACGCACTGATAGAGTCTATACCTAACTGATGGTGACGGACGACCAGAAGCCAAAATATTTCTTATGAAGCTTTGAAATTGTTTTCCATAAAAAACTCATCCAGACCTTCACTTTCACCTTTTTTTTTATTAAAATGAATGTTACAATGTTTGTTGATGGAGTCAGTAAAAAACAATTCTACAGCTGCTTTTTTCTTCGTCTTTCTTATCATAACAACATGTCCAGTGTTGTGCTTCTTGTCGGTTTTTTTCTGTTCTGTTTAGAAGAAAAGTGTTGAAAGAAGTGAAAAAAAATGTTATTTTATAGGATTTGGCCAGCTGCATCGACTTGAGTAGGTTTTTTTTGCCGTCTCACACTCATGTGTGCGTGTTTTCTTTTCTGTTCTTCCGAACTGTTGTAACAACGTTACCATGACAGAATCAACATAAATATAAAGGTGAAGGTGAATGTAAGCTATCGTCATTTTTTCAATTTGAATACACACTGATGGCTAGTGCAACAAACACAAACTCTAATGCACGATTTCTTGACGCCAGCGAGGAGCCCAATCAAGTTTTGTTGCCTATTCGTGGTTATGCAAAGGAGCGACTGCTACCACTTGAAGAGGCTATTAAGCCGATCGATGATCAACTCGATGATCTCGATATAATGGTTGACACGGCCAAACGAAACTCAAAAAAACCGGCAGATGGACTTACTTCTGACGAATCAGCTGCTATTCACCTATATACGATGCAATGGGAAGAGCCGAATGTAAGCCTATATACTAAGCTCAATAGCATACTTCGTTCAGAACGACGAGAACCACTCAAACCATGGTTCCGTTACCTAAAACTGGTTCTCACTGCTTTATTCAAATTGCCATCATTGAAGACTACAGTCTGGCGGGGAGTTCGCGGCAATATGAGCGATCAATATGATGATGATATAGTATGGTGGGGATTCAGTTCATGTACAGAGAGTGTGGATGTGATGGAGCAATTTGTTGGAAAGTCAGGTGTACGAACTTTATTCAATATTGAATGTATTAATGGCAAAGCTATCCGAGCTCATTCACACTATAAAAAAGAAAGCGAAATTCTTCTTCTACCTGGCACTTATCTTCGTGTTGTGGGTAAATGGAGTCCAGCTAAGGACTTATACATCATTCATTTGCGTGAGACACCTGCACCACGACCATTCCTTGAACCGCCTTTCGCATCAGCAACATCGGACACATCCGTTTCGACAGCATCGGCAACAACTATGGAAACAGCAGCTAAACAAAATGTTGCCATTTCGAAAGCCGAAGGTCTACCAAGTGGTGCTGCTACAGCATCATCCATCAAACCAAAAAGTAAGCGTTTTTTTCATTCTATCCGGCATATTTCTGTAGAGAATTCTCAGTGTAATATTCAATAGTAGGACACGAGTATGTACAGAATTGAAGCTAACAAATATTTCGTTTATCGAGGCCAGCTGAAAAAGTTTTTAAATTAGAGACAAGCTTGTGGGAGTGAGCTCTAATGTGGATGTTAAACGAAAAGCTCACTAGTTTTTGCAGATGTTTATGAAGCTTGCAGCTTTATCTAGGTCCGATCTTAACAAAATCTATATTCTTTTAATTCATTTATAGTGTATTGAAGAACCCAAAACTTCAAATAAAAACATAATGTATTTAACATCAAAATAATGAAAAGTTAACTAGTGAGACATCATCAGATTAAAAAAAATGAAAATTCCATGCATGAAATGAACATTTTAATGTTTTTTATAAACTCATCAATACGTCTTGAGTGTCAATTATAGAATATCAAAAACAATTACTTTCAATCCCATCACTACGAGATTAAAGTATAAAATGAGGTGGAACTATTTGAACTGTTAATAAGAATCAGCGATAATAACGCTACATGTGGATATGTCTATCATAGTAACCTATGATGAGTACCACAAGATCATATATCAGCAAACAAAAGTGGAGTTTTTATATTTCTGAATTCGACACATCTGAGATATTCAATACTTGAAGATAGATTTCAAGATTAGCATGTATGAGGTTGTAGGACAGAATGGAAACATTGATTTTTCATCATAAATAATTCAGCCAGCATTGTCAATTTTGCTTGATAGAGAAGAAACTATCAAATTTGTGTTGAAGTTACTCAGAATGTTGACAACTTTCATTTAGAACGCCAAGAATTCGCTACATCTGGGACGTACAAGAAACTGAATCAAAATGAATCATTACTGGTGTGGTGTTTGATTTATACGACATTTTGAATTGTTTTCTCCAAACAGAGAAAAGTACATGAATAAAACTATTGTTATAAGCATTCATCTATTCTATGAGTTTTCAACACTTGACTATAACAAAGGTTTTCACTTGCAAGAAGTAAAATAAGTGAATAAGAGGTTAAGGGTCGTACTATTCAGTCATTTCTTATGTAACCTCTACTCCATTGAAGAAATTTTGAATTTACTCTGAGAAAACCAATATAAACGAACATCGTCGTCCTAAAGATTATTCAACAGTCAAAAAATTTCAATTATATGGTCGACTTGAACGAGTTCGTCCTTAATGAACATGTTTTTTGAATAGAACACTTGTGCCAATTGTGGCAAATGCCGTGATGATCATTCATTTTTCACAGGACCTTAAATTTATAGACAAACTGCGGATCTTAAATTCGAAGTAAAACCATTATAAACGAACAGAACATTGATTTAATTGATTCCTTTGATAGTTCATCTTCTTTATGCTTAACAACTGAGTCATGGTGCTTTGAAGTGAATGGAATAGATGAATACGACTGTTGGTACTATTCAAATCATTCATTTGGCATGCAAGCATCGATGTTCCATCGAATTGCAATAGTAACTAAAATGCAGAGAAAATAGATCAACAAAACCTACGGGCGATGATAATTATCTATTTAACAGATGATTCTCGATAAGTTTATCTTTGTTGAATTCTTGCTTTCATGTACGTAAAACAGATGAACAAAATCATCTAACAAGTTGGAAATGGATCATGATGATTTGTTTGTGGTACGATCATCGCACACCTTCGTCAATCGAAAACTTTCGATCGTATCAAGTAATATAAGTGAACAGATCATCCAGAATCAGAATGATTCCTTTTTTATCTGCACTTTTATTAACTTGGGGACTCACATTATGATAAACAAAGTGAGTGTCATGAATAAACAAGACCATTACAAGAATTATGATCAGTCCTGCACCTTATTATCTTTCAAAGTAGCTTAT